TACCTTAATATTATCTTTTCTATTTTTGTTTGTGGCAAAAATAATACTCCCTCCGTCCCTCAATGTTGGTCCTACTTTCCCGAAATGGATGTCCCAAAATGTTTGTCCTACTTTTTTCTTTCCTCATTTGGCAAACAAATCTTTATCAAACAGTGTCAAACAATGCAAAACAATGTCAAATAGTGTCGCTACAGTGTACAATCAAATTCATTTTCTTAATATCCGTGAAGTCAAACTAGGACAAACATTTAGGGACGGAGGTAGTATGTTTCTGAGTGTATTTGCAAAGATAAGATTTAACCAAGCATTTTTGTACAAATAATTTTTATACAAGCTAAGTTTTTTCTGTGTGCAGACAATTTCTATACAAGTTTTGTCTATGTACAAACAATAATTATTGTTTGTGTGTTCATTTATTTTGTCTGTACGTGATTGAAGTACTGTCTGTGTGTTTGTTTATATTGTCTGTGCATAGTTGTTCAGACCGAATTTGTTTGTATGAAGATTTTTTTTACCTTAATAGGTATATGTTGAATTAGATTATTTGTGACTGTGCTCGGACAATTGTTTTTCTATTTTTAAAAGAAATAATTCCAAATATATAACCAAAATAAAAGTAGTGGTAAAAATGTGATTCTAGTAACTTAAATGAGTATAATTGTATTCAAATGTTACATTATAGTGACTATAAAACTTACTCAAAGTAACTTATAATCACATTTTTTCCATAGAGTTTTGAAATAATGACCCTAAAATTACTTCCTAACTTTTACTAGACAATTGTATGACTAGATATTGCATAGACTAAAAAGTGATTAAGTGAACGAATCAAATTAACTGCTCCGTAAGTCCGTACAATGCTTCATACTCCTTATTATAAATATAAAAATAACCCTAATTTTGACATCAAATAAATCATCGGCTTCTCTCCCGACTCCCGCCGCTTGAACCATATCCTCACCTCCTCGCCACCTGCTTGCACCGCACCCATCATCTCCCTTGATTCAACAGCCTTTAGCATCAAGAACCGCCCTATCAAGCCACACAATCTCTTCAACTGTCCTTCTACCCTTTCTCCGATTGGAAATTGTGGATGGCTAAATCGCGCGTGGTGTTGGGTTGATATCCTTGGGGTGAGGGTGGACTAGGGATTGATGAAGAAGAGGATGTGATTTTGTCGGTGTAAGTTGGCATCGGAGTAATGAACCAAATCGGCGTCATAGTGTGTTATAGTCACTGTACCACATGATAGTCACTGGGCACAGGTGCCGCCGTCACCGACCGACGCTGGTGATGAACAGACGAAGTGGGTCACTAGGAGTCACATAGGATAGGCGCGGGCGGTGAGGTAATCTATGGTGCTGTGGGTAACTGAAAAGTCTAGTAACTGAGTGTCATAGAAGTCGGTCACTGGGCAACGGGTAGTCTAGTAACTGACCGCCATGGACTTTTAGTGACTGCGACAACATTAGTGATAGTAACTATTGGTGGTAGTCACTATCACAGGCGGCATTTGCGGCAGATCAGCGTAGTGATAGACTGAGTAACTATTGGTGGTAGTCACTATCACCGGCGGCATTTGCGGCAAATCAGCGGCGGTGGATCGGCGGTGGGTGGATTGGGGCTGGATGGGAGCGTTAACTACTCTATTATACGAAGTATTAGAAATGTATTTTGAAATAATAAATGAGTATGGATTACTCCGTATTTAATAGTAGTATTACGTAAATGGTAAAAATAAGATACTTAGTTACTCCGTACTCCGTACTTTTTTGGAAAACATTAAAAGTAGTCATATGTTTGGCTTTTGTCTTCTCATTAGTAATGTTTTAGAAAAAAGCTCTTTTTAAAATTGTGAATACAAGAAATTGTGATGCCACATAATGTTTTTTGGGGGAAGTTTCACAGACAATTTCCTTTAAGAAACAAAAATTTGAAAACACATCCATTTGTTAAGGTAAATTTCTTCACAACTATTGTCTGGGCACAAACAATAATTTTAACCTGTTCCAGTGGCTATTGTTTGTAACTAGACACTTCACTTACCACATTAGCACATTCTAGTGACTATTGTCTGTGAGCAGACACTTTATGCCTATTTCCCAGATAATTCTACTTAGAATATTAGCTCATTCCAGTGAGTATTGCTTGTGATCAAACATTTGATATCAAATTCGTAGACATTTTCATTTAACACATTAGAATGTTTACGTGATTATTGTCTATAACCGGACAAAAGTTGTTTTATGTATGTCACATACAATTTTGTTTTTGTCTGTATCACAGACATTTCACCTTACCAATGAAAAATGATGTTTTATGTTTGTTTAAATACCTTAACCAACCAAGCATTCCAGCCCAGCTGGTTGTGAAGTTACCGTGCCTAGCGAGAGGTCTCGAGTTCGAAACTCGCTAGGCACGTAAGGGTTTGAAACTCAATGGAATGAGTTTCAACCATGATTACTCCAGGCTCCCCCCAACCCCTCTCCCCCAGGCCCCCCCCCCCGGAGTAAAAAAAAAAAGAAGAAAGAAAAAAAAACAAAAAAAAAAAAATACCTTAACCACAAAAAGAACACATGATATAATATTTTATACATATCATAGAATAGAACTAAAATAAAGTTTAACTATTTGGTTACACAAGTGACCTTTTCTAAACTAATCCACAAAAATACAATTGGTCAATTAAGTTAAAATGTACAAAGCTAGATCTAATTAATCATGTTCTAACTACTAGGATTAAACAAGATAGAACATAATCTTATGAATCACTTGAACATAAGCTTATGAATCATAAGTACATTGTTGAGGATAGTCATTTTTCCATTGAGTTGGTAAGTTCCTTCACATTTATGGAGTGTCTTCATAGGAATTTCAGCAATTCATATGCATCGACTTTCTTGTACAAAGCAATGGCTATTTCCGGCCGATTCTCATCTTTTCTCCTTCCTTCATATAAAAAATAGAAAGAAAAGTATTGTAATAATCATCTTTACAGCACCTTTTAAAGTAATAAGTTAAAATTAGAACTGGCTAATTACTATAATTGAAAATAAGGATGGAAACACCATAGAAGAGATTCCTCATTCCTCCATGTAAAGCAAGAATGGAAAGAACTGCAGCCACAGAGAATACAAAAAAGGCTAAAATGAGAAGTGCTCCTATTTTCTTCTTCTCATTCTTGAGTGCAAGCACAAGAAAAATAAAAAGAAACTACGTGATTGTTAAATTGGTTGTTAATTACATCATTTACCTTATTCAGTCACAAAAGTTAGGAGAGAACAGAACAACTCAAATTAAGTGATTCATTAAAAAACATCACATTTTGTGTGAGAAATGGAAAGAAACTACGTATGTGAAGCCTTAAATGTATTGGGGGCAAATTTATTAACTAACTGCAGATTTTTTTTTTGGTCTATCATGGGATAAAATGTTGACTCCAATATGCAACCATGGTCCCAAGCCTTTCAGTGAAGATGAAGTGTGCTGCAAAAACACATTGGAATATGAATCCCAGCAATAAACTTTATGGTTTGATAGATGCAGAATAAAAGATGCTAATAAAAGAATTCATTCAAGCATTTCAACAAACACCTTATATGCATAAAAGTGAAATACCATAGTTGAATAAAAAATAAAATTATAATCATCAGAAATCCATACTAATAACAATGTAATAAGCATTCAACATCAAACAACATATATTGTATTTAAAAAATTAAAAAATTGAACAAATATAACCCTAAATGCACAAAAAAAAATCCGAATTAATTTTTTTTAAAAAACAAACAAATATAACACTAAACGTAACCCTCAGTCTGCCTTCAACACTTACCATTTTCATAAATTTTTCATCTTAAAAACAAATAAATACGTTTATGTTTCTATATTTGGGGCTTATTTGGGATTCTACAGTTTGTGCATTTTTTTAGAGCAAGAAAAATTACATGGTACGGCCGGCTGTACCGTGCGCACGGTACAGCCGGCATTTTATTTCCCAAATCGCAGGCTTCCATCGCAAATCGCAGGCTTTCATCGCAGATCGCAGGCTTCCATCGCAGATCGTAGGCTTCCATCGCAGTTCGCAGGGCTTCCATCGTAGTTCGCAGATCGACAGCCACGACCTCCAGCACAAGCTCAACACCTCAAACTCTGGCTTGAGCTGCGACTTCTGTGGCGGCTCCTCCTGGTGTATAGCCCTAATTGCTTCTTCTCCCTCTTTCTTGCTCTGGACTCTTCCTTTTTCTGTTTTTCTTACCCAAGTTTGGTGAGGGAGTTCGCTCATTTATGATATGAGTATAACAAATGAAACTATGAGCATAGTAGACATTTGAAATGAGTTTTTTGAATGCTCATTGCGTAATTAATGTATACTCATTTGATATTAGTGCAATACTCATTTTAAAATGTCATATTCATGCATATTTCAAAATGAGTTTTATGTTAAACTCAAATGATTATAACGTCCAAAATGAATGAGCACACACAAATGAGTTTTTTAATATTTTGATACTCATTTTGTAAGTTATGTATGCTCATTTATTACTGTTTTATGCTCATTTTTAAAAGGTTGCACATGTTAAATACCAATTCTCACTAAGTTATGTATGCTCAACGGCGATTCATGCTCATTTGTAAAATGGCATAACAATGCATATTTCAAAAGTTTAGAAAAAAATAAGGAAAAGAAAGTAAATTAGAAAAGATGAAACAGAGATCAGGATGCTCATTGTTATGCATGTAATGCTCAACAAAATATGTTACATGCTCACTAGACGTGTTTTAATGCTCATTTAGTACAAGACGCGGGTTTCATGTAAATTACAAAAATGCCACCGGCTGTACGGTTCTCACCGTACAGCCGGCTGTACTATATACGCTTCCGCAAGAGACACTTGTAATTTAGATAATCAAAGAACTTTGAATTAAAGAATGAAGACTTACTGTACACAAAAAGAAGGGGCTATATTTGGTGTGTATACGGGCGTGTAACCCGTCGTGTACACAAAAAGCCAACTAGGATGGGTATGACATAGCAGGGGTAGATAAGCGTCACAGCGCATGCCCATGTCTCTTCCTGTACACACATACCTCGCAGATCAAGTTTTCCTTACCTGATGATGCAACCCTCCGATCGCCGTCTGATTCTTCTCTCCCGCCATCTTGAACCTCACGATGGTACCCACATCCTTTCTGCTTCTTCCACATCCTCCTCAGCCCCCGCTTCTGTCTTCAATCACATCCTTCCAGCTCCTGAGGATCCTATTCTCGGTGTACTTACCCTCTACCTTTTTATCTCTATGTTTCTACTTAATACCTAAAAAGGTACTCCCCCCACCAAAATTGATACTTATGTTTCACATCCGTGGCTGTTAGAAACACCATCATTTACCCACGATGAAATTGACAATTTATTCCATCATATTCTTAGCTCCATTGGAAATGATGGACTAAATTTCACATATTCATAAACCACTTGAAAACAACTCTATAAAAAACAACAACTCTTTGATACATAAAATTAGAGGTCATTTCAGTAGTAAATAGTAAAATTTCACTATTATTTTGGGAGAGGAGGTTGTATATTTTATGACCATCTAGTGAGTTTAGTTTTCATTTTTTTTGGAGAAGAGGAATTTAACGGGATGATCAATTAAGCAGCGATTCAAGGTCAACTGTTAAGTATAAGTGATTAAGGATTGGCTAGCGTCTGGAGAAATTGAAAACAATGATTAGTGTTAGTGTAGTCAAGTTATATGGGAGTCTGTTTTGTCAAGTTTAGTGTTAGTTTTTTTCCAGAGTAAGTTTGATAGTTTGGGAGTCTGTTAAATCATTTCTGGTTGTGTTTTGGATTACACAGGTCACGGTTGCATATGATAAAGATCCGTGCTCTGTGAAGTTGAATTTAGGAGTGGGTGCTTATCGGACTGAGGTGAGTTGTGCTTTTCTTTTAATGGTGATTGATAACAATTTTAGTTTAAGCGTCAATAATTATGTACCTTGTCCCCCAAGGAGAGGTGTGATTTTGTGAGTTTAATGTGGTTTTATGATCAAACAAGTTTTTCCCTAATAACACATTTTAATATTTATAATTAAAATTAAAATTTATATTTTTTTTGAAATTATTAGAACTTTTATTGAAGTGCAAAAACTGAATATGATAAATTGATATACTCAATCCTAGAATAAATAGGAATTACACTGAGATCTTCTAGTGTATCAGTCATGTCCCGTTTTAAACCGGTACGAGACCGGTGCGGAACAAAATGAACAGGTCCCAAACAGAACGAGACAACAGTAGACAACACTTGTTTCGGGATATATCAAAATGGGACAACGGGACCGGGATTCTTGCCCATCCCTACGTAGTTGATTGGATTTTTAAAAATCATTATTAATTCTGTAGTGAAAAAACAAAATGTAGCATCATCTGTCAAATTGGCCACCTCATTAGAACTGAAGCCTGTAGCTCTTCTCCCCCCAATTGCCATGTCTGATAAACTGCTTTTCATGCACTCAAAAAACAAAACAACTAGTTTATTGGTGGAAGTTACGGAGTATTATATTTACTGCTGTGCTTAACTGTATACTTTTTGAATTTGAAGCATCAAATCTCTGATCGTAATCTTGGGGATCTGTCATAACTAAGACTGATTTAACTTTTGTGCTTTATCTTATGGTATAACAGGAAGGAAAACCTCTTGTTCTGAATGTAGTAAGGAAGGCAGAGCAGATCTTAGTTAATGACAGGTTATACACTAATACACACATCATGTTTATTGTACTCACAATTGGGAATGATGAAGTATTGGAAATTTTGCAGATTTCGGATTAAGGAGTATTTGCCTATTACTGGATTGAAAGATTTCAATGAATTGAGTGCTAAGTTGATACTTGGTGCGGATAGGTTTGAACACTCTATTCTGCCTACTTCCTAGGCAAATATGGCTAACTGATGCGAGTTTGTTTTTCTTATGACATTTTTAATTACTAGAGTGTTAAGTTTTCTTGTAAATATATAGTACTCCATGTGAATGGATTCACTATCTGTAATGTGTGACACGTCTCTCAAATTATCTATCTATGAACTGTCATAAGAAGCTTCTCTGGCAGTACGTTGTTTTTCAACATCCTATCCTATCCTATCAATATGGATAATTTGTATGGATGATTGCGGTTCACTGTTCTAAAAATCGCTCTAGGCGTCCGACTAGTCCCCGCCTAGGCGCTAGGCGGTGGTCGGGCGCCCCGATTTTAGTCTAGGCGTTCCGACTAATTGATTTGCCGCCTAGGTGAATTAGTCGACCGCCTAAGGCGTCTAGTTGTCCGCCCAGAGCGCTTAATTGGCCGCCTAGGCATCTAGATTCGTAGAACATTTTATTTTACTTTTTTATTTTAGTATTCTTAGAAATATATATACCCTTAAATTTAACAACACATATGAAGAAAGCTATTAGTTGTAGATTATGATAAAAACTTGAGTGCTATTATTATTTAGTAATATTTACTTCAAGCTAAGTGAGTAGGAGTAATATATTATTAAATGTGACAACTCTATCATTCATGCATGTTAATGTGTGCATATATTTTTTATGGGGTAATTTGAGTTCGCACCCCACTTTATTGTCCAAATTGGACTTTGCACCCCGTTTTTAAAAATCTTTGTTTTTGCACCCCAACCCCATACGAAAAGACAAAAAATGCCCCTGAATCAAGAATGCGTTAAAAGCCAACAGAATTATTAATGGAGGGCATTTTTGTCTTTTCATATGGGGTTGGGGGATGCAAAGACAAAGATTTTTAAAAATGGGGTGCAAAGTTCAATTTAGACAATAAAATGGGGTGCAAACTCAAATTACCCCATTTTTTATACGCACCAAAACACAACATTATTAATCATATTTATGCAAATATATTGATAAAACTATGATTTCTATGTTTCCGACTAGTCCCCGCCTAGGCTCTAGGCGCTAGGCTGGCGCCCGACTAGCGCTTAGTGCCTTTTAGAACATTGTTGCGGTCTTTGATAGTTAGGCATTTAACATGGTATAGAGACAAAAATTAGAGCTTGATAAAGTTATTCTTCCATGTCTGATGTGTGCTTAATCTGGGAATCCCCTTAAAGTTTGGAAGCAGTTCTCATTTCACACTTTGCTCAGACATCTGTAAACTTGTGCTATTTCCATAAGGTCTCTATGGAAGTTTGTCTAGTATTGATTTTAGACTTCTAGTATTACATAATGAATTGAATATTTGTAGAGCTAGAGAATTGATATGTAATCGAACCTTGGCTTACTTGGGATTCCATAATCCTCCATGCAATACACAGATGATCTGATTGTGCTTTATGCATTCCTCAATTTTCAAAAATATATATATTAATTTGTTTTTGATGGGATCAAAATATTTCCTTCCATTGTAAGTATATATACATTTATGCAATTGTTTATAAAATATGTTGAATGCGTTGGCTTTCTTTGAATATACAGTCCTGCAATCCAAGATAACAGGGTGACAACTGTGCAGTGCTTGTCTGGAACAGGCTCATTAAGGGTTGGAGCCGAGTTTTTGAGTAGACATTATCATCAAGTAATGATCTCTTACTTTTCCATTCCTGGTGTCCGCGTTAAATGCTGACTATTATTGTTATCTGTTTGACCTTCATTTGCATTTCTATACAGCATAATATCTATATACCCCAGCCAACATGGGGAAATCATTCAAAGGTCTTCACACTAGCTGGTTTGTCGGTGAGCACTTACAGGTACTATGATCCAGTAACCCGGGGACTCAATATTGAAGGTACATTCTACAACTCTGGGAGTCCTAATTGTTCCTCACCCGTCAGGCATTCTCTCTCTCTCTCTCTCGGTCAAAATATGCTTTTTCTTAATGAGAATTTAATTTTAATGCATGACAGGTTTGTTGGAAGACCTTGGGTCTGCTCCATCAGGGGCAATTGTACTTCTGCATGCATGTGCTCATAACCCCACTGGTGTTGATCCAACTGCTAATCAGTGGGAGCAAATCAGGAAGTTGATGCGATCAAGATCACTGTTACCTTTCTTTGACAGTGCCTACCAGGTGGACTACCAAAGCTTATAGCTGTATTTTTGCTATAGTGTTCATAGTAGTGTATTTTAGTTTGTAGTATGAACTACTATGAACTGTTGGCACTTCAGGGATTTGCAAGTGGAAGCCTGGATGGAGATGCTCAGTCAGTTCGTTTGTTTGTTGCTGATGGGGGCGAGTGCCTTATTGCTCAGAGTTACGCAAAGAATATGGGACTTTATGGTGAAAGAGTTGGAGCTCTCAGCATTGTAAGTTAAATCTCAAAAAATAATATGCTCTAAATTGGAGGAGCCTGTTTCGTAATGGTTATTTTGCTGAAATGGCTGAAACTTCTAAAGTTTCAAAAAGGTTTAGCGCCCGACCTGCTCCTACCGAGTTTCGGAACATTACAACAGATAACAAAAAGACTGTTCATTTGAGGGAACTGTAACCTTTAGTGATGTTATGTATCTAAGATGTCATACTACCTATTATTAACAAATCAGATCATGTTTGTGACTAGGTTGCAGAACTAGCGCCATTTTTATGCTAGGCAGTATAGTATCATAAGATGTCTATGCTGTAAGCTGATCTATTATGATTCTAATCTGAGTGATGGGAATCTTTTCATTCTTTTATCCTTTGTAGGTTTTAGCTGGTTTTCATGTGTTTCTTTCAATGTACTTGCTACTTTTAATCAATGAAATTATTTTCATGTCAAGAAAATAAAGAAACAAGTAAACTTATCTATAGATGAGTGATGAGAGAGAAGGATTTCATTATATAAATAAGAGCCCGCTTCTATCCTTTTATAGGATAAAAGTACTTCCCATAGATAAAAAGATCCTATTTCTATTGAAAAAGCCTGAATATAAACAAATTAACTACTGTTTGACAAATATACACAGAATCAGTTAGCAAAATAAATCCCTAAAGTTAAGGAGCCTTCATTTCCTCCTCTGATTCTTCAACATTATCTTTATTATTTGCAGGTATGTAAGCACCCCGATGTGGCTAGCAGAGTTGAGAGTCAATTAAAACTAGTTATCAGGCCAATGTACTCAAATCCACCTTTACATGGTGCATCAATTGTGGCTGTGATCCTCAAGGACAGGTTTTTCCTCTATTTCTAAACAAACTGTGCATTGCCCTTGGGAATTAAGTCCACCTCTCATTATGTTTATACACAAAGGAAACATTCGATGAACTCTAATGGAATGAAGGGAATGCGATCATTCTTGTTTTCCATGTATTTTCACATTTCACGTGCATTTGATTACATTAAGTTCCGGCTTACCAGACCTTACTTTAGGTATTCAATGTTTCTGAGAACTGACAATACTATGGTTGCAGAAACATGTACGAGGAATGGACAGTTGAGCTGAAAGCAATGGCTGATCGCATCATCACCGTGCGCCACCAGCTGTTTGATGCTTTATGTGCCAGAGGTAACAAATAATATTATAAATTCTTTGTAAAGGCTTCACAAGCTTTTAGTCTTCTTTTCGACAAAGCTATATTGGTATATCATTGTATGTATATATTTTGTTAACTTTATATGATTGAGACATCCTTTGTGTGGATATACCATTGTCAAGAGCTAATCCTAGAAACTGATCCCAGACTGAAGAATGAATATTAATGAAATGAGATACACACACACCCACCCACCCACCCACCCACACACCCACGCACCCACGCATGCACCCCCCACACACGTGTAATGATCTACAGGTGTTATACCCAAACAAGGAATATGAATGAATTGCATTTTTCATTTCATTTTATTTTATTTTAGCTTAGCTTATACATAAACAATAATCAAACACTTCGGAATTTTTGGGCCTTTTTCTTTCTTATCTGTGTTTGCATGTCCTATGGTGGTTAAGGATTGGCACATACCGTTAACTATGAGGGGATGCTTTTCATAATTATTTTGTGTCGATAGGGACACCTGGTGACTGGAGTCACATCATCAAGCAAATAGGAATGTTTACTTTCACTGGGCTCAACATGAAACAGGTTGCATTCATGAGAAAAGAGTTCCATATTTACATGACCTCAGACGGGTAATTAATTACCATCTTTCTGTTGTGCATGCACTTATAGGGTTTAACTAGTTTTTTCACAATTGACGCTTCAAATGAATGCCGACTCGGCGACTCCAAACTCCATTGGATTCAGGTGTAAATCGCGATGTGTATAGAGTATTTAGAAATTCTTTCTGGCTCTCTAATGGAGGCAGAGTTGCTTAGTCGACATTGTGATCATTAATCACCATTAATTACCAGGGTATATAGTGACACTCTACAAATAAACCTGGTAATGATGATATTGCAAGTGTCCATATAAGACAATGCTAGTTGCTACTTCAAATTCTGGATGGTGTGACTTTAAAATAGTGTTGCTATAATTTTACAGAAGAATAAGCATGGCAGGACTAAGTTCCAAGACGGTTCCACATCTAGCTGGTGCAATTCATGCTGCTGTCACCCGTATTGTCTGAGTTACAAGGGCTTTGGTTTACCTCGCATGAATGTTTACTCACCTAATTAGTGCGTTTATCGTGTTTTGATGTTGAAGGAAAACTTTCATTTCAAAACTAGTATAGTATATGTGCATATATGCACCAGAAATAACAATGGGTACATACATTTGTATGCACGAGCTCATTAAGAACAAAAATAACACAATATTCAAAAGAAATTAGATTATCCTAAAGAAGTGAATATAATACAGCACGACAAAGTGTAAGTTAATACAACTTGGAAGGCCTGATGTTCTAAGGAAATTAAAAACTTTGATGTTATTTTTTTTTTTGAGAAAAAAAACTTTGATGTCATTGTTTTAAATGATTCTGCTTCGATTGTTACTATATTATGGGATGTTTGGAATTGATTTTGCTTATACTTCTTTTTTAAAAGTAGAAGTAGAATCATATCAGTTTTTAGGAAGTTGGTCTTCCTTGATTTCTGAAAAAATTGCTTCGAGGAATAAATTTGGAGCATTTAGAAGTTTCACCAAACACTTCAATATCTTCTTCTGCTCTTTGAAGGAGCCAACACAATTTTAAGAAGTAGATTCAAACACCCTCTAATTGCTCTTAGAAGTGGTTTTTTAGAAGTTGGGGGAGATTTGAGAAATGATTTTGATTATGCTTTTCTTTTTAAAAAGAAGTTGAAGTTTTTAGGGCTTACTAAATAATCTGTACAAAATAATATTCCCAATAGAAGTAGAAGCAGAATCAATTTCAAACTCCCTCTTACTCCATATTAGAATATTAGATTGGTGTTAGACAGTTTAGTTCACACAAAAAGGGAGTAAATGTGAATATGTATTAGCGTATTCTCTATTTATATACATAGAAATCAATGTAGTTCATTATTATCACGACGATTAATATTTAATACTCAACGAATCATGAAGTTCTCTATTATAGTTGATACTTTGTTAATACCTGAATGAATCAAACAATCTTTCAAAATATCGAAATGTATAAACACTTGATAACTTATTGGCTGAATAGAATAGAAGAACTTGATAAAATTAAAATAAAATTAAAAAATAACTGATATTAACTTTGCCAACAAATATGAAATTAATTGTTCCAAGTATTAGCGGATTGATATAGACATAATTAAAAAAATAACTGATTTTAACTTTGCTAACAAATAATAGATGAAAGGAGAAAAAGAATTACCATCATTATTGATCACCATCATTATTGATCACCATCATTATTGATGAGGTCTTTTAATTTAGCTCTTGTCTAATGCTTCAAACAAAATTTATGAGTCGTTGCCTCATTCGATATTATCAATTTGGTTTTTTCAATAGCTCTTCAAGTTCACTCTCTTGACGAATATTGCAGGTGGAGTTCTCTAGTATAAGAATTGGGGTGGAACTTTGAGTATGTAGTTATCTGATTCTCTGTTTAAATAAGAGTAAAGAAGTAATTTAACTGGATGCCATAATTAAAATAATATGATGCTAAGAACTTAAGGCAAAAGCTAAATTCTTCGACACAATCATATACTCCGTATAAAGTATACCCAACCATTCGGTTACTCACAGTTTCAATTATTTACATCAAAATATATGCATAAAGTCATCATTTGTCTTTTGATAATCAAAACATCCATTTGACTTCACAGTGTCTTAGTAGTTTGGAGCTCCTCACTCATCTTGAATGTATCATAATCACATATTGCACATATACAAGCTTATTCCTAGTTTTCGCGTGATATATATCCATTTCAACATGGTAAGAGCTGTGTGACAAACAATTTTCTCAAGTAGTGTCATGTTTCTCAGTACTTAACTTTTCCAATGTTTCGAAATGTTGTTTGTGATCCCGATGCAACCCCTTCGATCGCAAAACACGTTTATATAAAGTTCGGGGTCCTTAACTTTTCCAATATTTCAAAATATTCTTTATGATCCCCATGCAATCCCTTCGCAAAACACGCTTATCTAAAGCTTGGGTACTAGATGTTGACAAACACCCTAATATCCTCATTTTTGCCCATTGTATATGTTTCCATTGTCTCTTTTCGTATAAATATGATAACTATCTTTATCAAGTATGCTTGGTACATGATACGTTTGTAATTTCCGTGTGTTTATTTACGTTTTTAGTTAGTTTTGGTTGTTTAATATTTCGGAAATTACACACTTTCGGTGTAATAGTTTAGTTTGTTAAATTCTTGTAATTTGTTTAGATTAGATTTATTCTGAGCTTAAACAGGTCCAAGATCAATCAAATGATCAAAGGTGAAGGAAGGTGCAAGAGTAGAAGACAAAAAGAAGGAAAAACTCCTGATTTTGGGGTATACTCGGTCGAGTATACCTTATACTCGATCGAGTACCAATACTGATTTTCAAGGATCCGATCCGGGAACAAATGAACATGCAAGGAAAGATTTGGCCACGTTCTATTGTCATACCCGATCGAGTACACCGACATACTCGATCGGGTATACATATAAAATCTACTCGAGTATTGATCGAGTATTGACAAAATTCAGGTTTCTACACATACTCGATCGAGTATATGTACATACTCGATCGAGTACTCGGCCTGCATTTCAAAAAGCCTATAAATACACCTCCTTTCCTTCACTTTAAGAACACCAATTCCTATATACTCTTAAGCTCAGTTTAGAATAGCATTTCTCTATATTTCTTTTAGCATGTTTAGTCTCCAAATGAGGAGCTAAACTTCCATTTCTTGGTATTGCTCTTGAAGCTTGTTGATTATTAAAGTTGTGAGTTATTTTCTTAACCTCTTTCCTTGAATATTAATTCTTTCTTCAAATACTATTTCTATATCAATGTTGGGGAGTGTTGCTAAGATGACAATTAGTTAACATCTTGATATTGGTCTTAGTAATAGCTATTCCTTCCTCTATGTTAATATTGGGGAGTGTTACTAAGATGACAATTAGTCAACATCTTGATATTAACTATAGTAGGATTCATCTTCTTTAATATTCTTCCTTGAGTATTAATTAATCCCTAATCATATTGCATATTAATATTTTGAACATTACTTAAAGGATCAACTAGTTTTGTTTCATATATTAATTATTACTAGAAACGATCAACGAACCGATGGTTAATCGTTGATAGTTTCACAAGTAAGTAACTTCGGTTTATTAATGCACGGTCGTGGTTAATAAACTTAAGAGGGATTAATTTTGTTGGTTAAACCGAGACCGTTGTGTTGAGGTTATCAATCTCAATTGATTTCATCAAGGAATTAAAAGATTAAATGCTACTATCAAGTCGGTATATGGCGTTGTTCTATACTTGACTAATAGTAAGGGTTATTAATGAACGGTCGTTGTTAATAACTATCCTCGATGAATTGGATATACTCCTCGATTGAGTATTCGAGAGGAGATAAGTTATTGATATAACAATGATCGACTAAAATATATCAACAAGTGTAAAGTAGCAATACCAAGTCCCTTTTATTCTTGAATTTAATCCCATATAACTCGTTCATCTTCGTGTTTAATTTAATTAAATCACTCAACAACCAAAACCCCCCTTTTCATTTACTATTTATATAAAAAGAAAGTTAGTCCTTTCCCTGTGGATACGAACTCTACTACACTATACTACGTATAAGTGTTAGTATTGAATTTAATTTGAGTGCACCTCACGACAAGTGCACGTCAGTACATAAAAAGTGTAAATGTGGTACTAGGTATAGATGCCATTGTAACTCTATTAGCTACTGCATCTATACAAAATGTAAAAAGAAAGATATGAAAAAGTATCCAATGAGACATTGTATTCAAGGAAAAACTAAATTAATAATAGTTATCTTCTTAATTGATGTTAATATTTTATTTTATCTCATATTGTTATTTGGAGTAATTGCATATTTTGATATTCAATAGACTTCATTTACATTATAATTTGTATGCAAGTTACGACAATGGATGCAGCTTGCTACGATCAAGAGGCAGATTTTTTTCAAAAAAAAAAATACTTATAATTTTATATCGGTTATTGCGTAGAGTAAATTTCTCTATGCTTTTAGTGGCCTTATTATGCTCAAAAAGAGTCATTATTGTAATGGGGCTCCTAAGCTTAAGGCTAGGAGCCCAAATCCATATTTACTCCTATATATAGCCCCCTAGGAGTAGTTATAGGGAGTTGAAAAATATTAATTGCTCATATTCTCTCTCTAGCTCTCACTTTTCTCTAGAATTTAATACTCTATCAATACACTCTAAGTTTGCACATTGAGAAAAATGTTTTTGATTTTATAATTGAAGTGTGTTAGAAGAAAGTATGAGAAAGTTCCTTAAATAAGAGTAAAAATGTTTTGTGATTCCAAAATAAGTCTGTTGTATTTTTATTCTCTAAATATGGGTAATTACTTCCAAGCTTGAAAAATATATTGACATGTGTAAAACTTGGTGATGTCAAAACATGAAAATAAAAGCATGACGGTTCTACATTGAAATTCATAGAGTCTTTTACCCTTAATTATGGCAATATCTTAAAATATATTTATACATTAAAGCCTAAGAATGGAAAATCCAAGAAAAATGATTTGATACATTAAGTGCCTGTTTGGTAATATCCAAATCGATTTTATTGACTGATTTTGATGAAATTTATAAAACTTTGACTGAAGTGGCTGAATTGCCTGATTCTGCTGATTTATGAGAAAAATATATTTAAAATATATTTAATAAAATAAATAAAAAAGTATACGAAAAATAGTTTACCTAATCTTCTACAGTAACTTCAGCCAATACAGCCAGAAAAATATCTTCAACCTTTCTTTTTCTTATTACTACGTATTACACAATTCATTGAGCGAAATATAAAATTATGTGTTTGGTAATAAAGTTAGCTGATAAGCATTATTTTTATCCTTTTTATTTTATCATTTTTATGTATATTCATCTCTTTTTTATAATAGCTTATCTATTTTATCTTTATTTTCCTTTTGTTGGTGATATCATGTATCGATTCGTGTTAGCCGACCCCAATATCTTTTGGGACTAAGGCTTTGATGTTGTTGTTGTACCAAATGGGCTCTAAAATTTATTAAATTATTTGAAGACAAAGAGTGTAAAAGGTACATGATGGATGGTCTACCCGGGGGGTATCTTATCCGAGGGGTTATTGCGGGAATAACTAGAGAGAAGTCAGAGCAAAAATAGGAGGAGAGAGAGTCGATTTATTAAATGAACTCAGCGTGGTTTACAAGGAGAATAAGGGCTGCTATTTATAGCAGCAATAAATGCGATGAGAGGACACGTGTCGGTAATCCAACGGCCGAAGGGTCACATCAGCCGGTTGGCACCGGCAGTGGTACGTCCACCGCATTGAATGCGGTTGGCGGATGTGACGTGGTATTCAATGCGGTGGTTGGCTGTCTCCAAAAGGAATCTTCGATGATTGAGCGTGTTTGGCCGAGGGCTCCCTGTGTTGCCGAGGGCCCTGTGTGACCGGAGGCATGGTTTAGCCGAGGGCTTCTTTGATGCCGAGGGCTCGATAATGCCGAGGGCTCATGTTTTCGCCGTTTTTTCCCAGTAGCCTCTTATGTCAGAGAAGGCTACCCTGTGAGGTTTGGAGCCTTCGGCCAAGGAGGCCGAAGGCACCCCAGTGCGTATTCTGGGCTACGTTGAGGCTTGGGCCGCTGCATTTTGGGCCTGAGTTGTTTCTCGGGCCCAATGAACTTGTGTAGGAGAAGTAGGAGTCTATGGGCCGGGGGTTCCTGGGCCATATACTCCATCAGGAGTCCCTCACTCCTTTTGCCGAAAGGTACTTGAGGGAAAAGGAGTAGATGTGTTGCTTCTTCTGGAGGCTTCATTATTTCGCTGGGTGCTCTTGCTGGAGAACTTGTCTTCTGCTGATTGCCGAAGGCTTCCCTCGGTCCCTCACATGTCGAGGGTTTTCCGAAGGAAGTATAACACTTGTATGAATGCCGGAGCCTCTCCTCAGTCCCTCACATGTCGGGGGTTTTCTGAGGGAGGCGTAAATAATATCCGTATGTGTTGTGATGAGGGCTGCTTCATTTCCGCAAGTGGCTTGTGGAAAACTTGTGATATTTCCGCCACTGCCGAAGGGTATGTTGAAGCATGTAACCGAGGGGTTGTACTGTGATGTTTGCCCGGAGACCGTATGCGTCAATTGTAAATTGTTGCATGAAGAAATTTTTGTTGTGTATGATCCCCGAGGGGTGTATCCCAGTCCCCCACTCCTTTGGATCGAAGGTAAGTTCGGTTTGAAGGAGTTATGACGTTTGCGTGTAGCCCCGAGGGGTGCCATTAACTGGGAGTGAAATTGTCGATAAGCCGAAAGCTTAGACTACTACTTTCTCGAGGGTGTCCGGTGAAAGTAATCACCGAAGGCCGTAGTTGGTGACAGGCGGAGGCTGTTATCCGAGGGCATCCGGGTATTTCGGAAATATGGCCGTTGTAATAGAGCCGTTGGAAGGGGGGCACACGTGGCATGCTCCTGTTGGTCGGAAGTGGGCGGGTGCCACCCATTGGCTGAGGCGAAGGTTCGTAATGATGGGCTTTCCAAGTCGAGGCCCACATTTCGAGGCCCAGTTGCCTATAAATACCCCATGGCAGAGCTCAGTCCTCCTTGTGCGTTCATAAACTGTAGCGAAGCTCTGCTGAATTTTCTAGAGAGAGAAACTCCAGCCCTCGACCAACGTGATTCTCAAGGTCAGTTCTTCATCCATTCACCGCTTTCTTAGCGTACTTTGCTATCCCATCCTTAGATCTAGTGTTCAGAGCCTTTAGGAACCCTCGGTTAGCACTCCTTAGTAGCCCTCTCATCTCGATAGTCTCAATTCCCTCTAATTATGTCATCCGAAAGTGATTCACAAAACATATCGGAGGAGGTCCCGATACAATCCGAGAGTCTTTCGGATGTGGAGTCCTCCAGCGGGCAACCATCGGAAGGAAATGATTTAGCCGTAGCCCAGGAGGTGCAGAGCAGCCTTCGGATCGAGCTTGAGGCCGAGGAGTTCGAGCAGGTGGCTGAGGACGAAGAGATGGCCCTCGCGCTTCAAGTGGCCGAGGAGGAAGAGGAGAAGGAGCGGCAGGAGGTGACAGTTGCCGTGTTGCCCTCCCGCGGTGCTGGTGAAGCGAGCAGTTCTCAGCCACTGAACCCGGAGCCCCTGAGGGTTGCTCCCGGGAAGAAGAGGAAACCAAAGGCTGCCCCAAAGAAGAAGCAGGCAGCCGTCGACGCCGGGCGGCCTGTTGGGATACCCGAGGGGCACTCGTACTTGGATACTGCCGCCCTCGAAGTGAAGACTTCGGCTTCGGGAGCCGAATATCAAGCCCTACAGGTGCTTGTAGGGCCGTCGGCACAAGTCGTGGAGCCGGGACCCAATGACCTGCTATCTCATCCTCCCGAGGGATGTTTCTCGGTACACATGCTGTCGGTGGAGCTAGGGCTCAGATTCCCCCTCCACCCCTTCGTCGTTGAGTACCTGCGGTTCGTGAAGTTAGTCCCCTGCCAACTCACGCCGAACAGCCATTACTATCTGGCGGGGTTCCTGGCCCTTTGCCGCAGCCGGGGGGTGACCGCCACATTGGAGCAATTCTTCCTCTCCTTCAACCTCTGCCGGGGAGGCCATTCTCACGCTGGAGGGTACGCCAATCTGCAGCAGGTCCCGGCCTGGAAGCTTTTTTCAGAGACGCCCTCTTCCCATAAGGAGTGGAAGGAGAAGTTTTGCTACATTCGGGTGGCCGAGAGCCCGTTCTCGGGGGGCCTCAATAACTATTTCAAGAGGCACCCGAAGGTAGGCAGCGCGGCCCTGCAGAAGGCCGGCAAGAAGCTCATTGAGAAGCCCACGGGCTCAGATAAAGTGATCACCATCAAGGAGGCTACCCTGCCGGAGGAATTATATCTGCTAGGCTTCCGGCGATTCCGTCTTGCCGGGGAGGATGCGGAGAAATACCCCCCGATTGACCGAGGGTACCAGAGCTCCGGAGGTTGTTGCCGAAGGCTCTTGCAGCCTTGCACTTAGAACTTTCTTCCTTTGATTTGTTTTGACTCTAACCTTTCTCTCCTTTTTCTTTTTTAGGTGATATCATGGATCCTAAAGCCTTCGCCAAGTTGTCGAGGAAGCTGGCCAAAGTGCCTAAGAAGAAAGAGGAGGCCTCGTCCCTTCAGAAACCTGTGGACGAGTACTTCAAAGAGGTCGAGGCTCCCAAGAAGCCGGAGGGCGAGGAACCGTCGAAGGAGGTTGCCGCCGACGACGCTGATGCCGGGGGCTCCCAGAATGGGGAGCTTAAACGGAAGAATGCCGGGAAGGGCGTGGCGCCTCCGGAGAAGAAGAGGAAGGGGACCGGGGGGAAGAAGGATGCCCCCTTGGTGATCCTTGACGAGCCCCCCTCCTTTCAGGCCTCGGAGTCCACCCCCCTCGAGGATTTTAAAGAGGGCGCCTGGCCCCGGGAAACAGTGCAGTTCTCCTTTAAGAAGGGGACTGCTATCATGCACGGCACCCTCGATCCGAGGGAATTCCTGAGGGGTGCCACTCCTCCGCTGGACCGGTCCACCCTCGGCCGGTTTGATGATGAAGCTCTCGAGCTCAAGGCCCTCCAGGCCTCAGTTTCTGTAAGTCCTTGAATTCCCTTGTGATTTTTATTCTTGTGTTCTTCCCTTCGCTTGTGTTCACTCTTGAGGGCTCCTTCGTGTGTTTGCAGGCTAGCGTGGCCCTCGGGGAGTATGTCCGGAGAGTGGACCAAATGCGCCTCCGGAAGGCGGAAGACGACGAGGCCCTTAAGAGGCTCGTTGCAAAGAACACGGAGGCCATACGGAAGATGGCTGGGCTGGAGGAGGCTCTCCGGCAGGCTGACCAGAGGCTGGAGGCTGCCAAGAATGAGGCCAGGGCCGAGGGCATCGCCAAGGGGAAGGCTGAGGCAGAGAAAGTCGCCGCTGAAGCCGCCCAAGCAGCCGTCGAGGAAGCCGACAGGGCCAAAGCCGAAGCCGTTGCTAAAGCCGCTGAGGGTGCCGTTGCTTCTTTCGTTGCCGATGGCTGGAAGGCCGAAGAATACCAGCAGTGGGTGGCCTCGGTGGTTGAGGCCAAAGCGGATGCCTGGGTAAAGGGCCCCGGGGCAATGTGGCTTGCCCTGAAGGGGAAAAGTTTTTACGAGGGCGCCCAATACTTTACTCAGGCTATGCTATACCGGAGGCTTGCTCGGCATCACGGCGTAGATCCGAAGGAGTTTCAGCCTGAAGCCTACGGCCTCCCCCCCCTTCTGCCGGATGTGAGGGTCCCCCTCCCTGAGGGTGAAGAGAGGCAGCTACTTGAGGATTCCGAACTGGCCAAGTGTGATTCTGACGATGATGAGGGTGATGCCTCCTCCGAGCTGAAGGATGTCTCCCAAGTAGCTGACACTTAAGATTTTTTGTAATATTTTTGTGGTTGTAAACTTCGGCTTCGGCCACATGTAACCAAACACTTGCCACTTTGAATATTCCTGATGATGAATATACTTTTCTTTTGAATGAATGGTGTGCCTTCGGGCCTTTTTGTATGAATGAATGTCCCATTTCTCTTCCATTTTTATTTGCCTTCGCCCTTTTCCTTCATGAATGTATGCCTTTCTTTACTTGGATGAATGCATGTTTTCCCGGAGGGCCCGAGTTTGTGGACTTAGAGAAAAATTTTTCTAAGTGTAACTCCTTGCTAGCCCCCGGTTGCAGTGTAGAATCACCGGGGGGGCCGTTGTTGTGGACTTAGGAAATTTTCTAAGCAAAAACTTTGCCGTGAACCCCCGGCCGTAGCTAAGGACCATCGGGGGGATTGAAGCTGTGGACTTAGAAAATTTTCTGAGTAAAACTTGATTAGACCCCTTCGGATGTAGGGTAGAATCACCGGGGGCTCGGAAAGTTCCTTAAGTAAGATCCCAGCGTATGCCTTCGGTGGTGAGGTATTGGAATTGCTCTCGGGTTGTAGCATCGGGACCGAGGGATAAAATGACTTAGCAGTGTAGCTTTAGGCTACTGCCAAGTAGTTTGGGGGGCCATCGGCCGCAACCCTGTAAGTGAAGAGGGCATCCCGGTTCTCTCCTGAAGGGTCTCCAATTGTGGACTTAGTCAAATTTCCACAATATTCCAATAGTAGTTGTAGTGAACCTTCCGGTACGGGAACTGCTCTGAGCCCCCGGTACATATGGTTGCCGAGGGGTTCGAGATTATGGACTTAGTGAAATTCTGAGATGTGTTTCCAACAGATCTTGTGGGTAGCCCCCCGGTTTGATGAGTGTTTCCCTGAGGATACCAATACGTGGACTTAGAAATTTTCTCACCCTTGAATGAGTCTGGTGACATTCTGCCTTTGGCCTGAGGCCTCCGGTTTGTGCACATATAGACTTAGTGAGGTTCTGCCAGTGAGCCTCTTTTTTGGGCCTCCGGTGGAATTTTTGTACTCCGAGGCTTCATGTAGTGAAGCTTTCGGCTATGTAGCTAGATGACCTGTTGTTGAGGGATTTTCTTGTGCCTTTGTAGGAGCCTTCGGTAATATATATCCGAAGTGTTGAGCCTTCGGGGAGAATAGTATCCGGGGAGTTCCTTCCCCCCTACACATCTTTTTTTTTTTTTTTTTTTTTTTTTTTCTTTTTGATGGTGTAGGAGAGGCATCTAGAAACTTGGTTTCTAGGAAAGGCTTGGCCTATATGGGAGGCAACGGAACAAACCGTTGGCTCCCCCTTCGGGAATGACCTTCCGATATCCCGAAGGGTTCGAGGGTCGTTTCCTCAGCCCGAGACATCGTCTGTTGCCTGCTTCCCCTTGGGAGATAGCACGGAAAGCGCCTCGGTTTTGAAAGTCGTCCCCTCAGCCCGAGACATGGTCTGTTGCCTGCTTCCCCTTGGGGGATAGCGCGGGGAGCGTTTCGTTTGTGGAAGTCGAATCCTGGGCACGGGACATGGTCCGTTGCCTGCCTCCCCTTGGGGGATGGCGCGGAAAGCGTTCCTGGGAAGGGTTTTATTTGTGTGTAGAACACAAATAGCCGGGGGCACTTGGTACCAGCCGGAGCCGAGGGGTGTTGCACCCCCCGTTTTTTTTTTTTTTTTTTTTTTTTTTTTTTTTTTTTGAAGGATTAAGTATGTATAAGTATGCATAATGTATGCATGATTGCGTCCTCGTGGGGTACGGCTTAGTGAGAAAACACTAGGTGTTTTCAAAGAGTGATGGGGGTGACCCATACACTTGGTACTTGGTACCTAAACTGTCTTTCCCCCTCATGAGAGGAAGAGGCCTTGGGCCTATATTGGTGAAGAGATGAGGGCTTGGCCACTTATTTGTAGGAGAGAAAGGGGGCCTTGGGCCGCTTGTACAATATGTAGGTGATGAAGGCTTGGCCTTTTGATTATTCTTCAAAAACAGATGGGGCCTTGGGCCATTGAAATTTACACTTGTTGAGGATGAGGGCTTGGCCGCTCATTGATAAAACTTTACCAGGTGGTGCACATTCCAATGTCTAGGAATCTCTGTCCCATTAGGACGTTTTAATTTGTATGTCCCCGGTTTGATGATGGATGAGACAATGTAAGGGCCTTCAAACTTGGGCGCCATCTTCCCTCCTTCGGTGGGTAGACTGGCCTCCCTTCGTCGGAGGACGTAGTCACCCACCTGAAATTCCCGGGAGCGGACCTTGGCGTCGATGTATCCTTTGACTTGTCTTCTATAGTTTTCGGCCCTGAGGAAAGCTTGCTCTCGGCGTTCCGAGATGAGATGAAGGTCGAGGGCCATGTTGGCGTCATTGACCGCGGGCTCATATTGTTCCACCCTTCGGGTCGGAAGGGTCACTTCTGTTGGAGCCTTTGCCTCAAAGCCATAGCATAGGGAGAAGGGTGTTTCGCCCGTCGCCCGCCGAGGGGTGGTGCGGTAGGCCCATAAGATGTTGTGAAGCTCTTCTACCCAGCCTCCCCCTTCGGCTTCTAGCTTCTTCTTCAACCCTTCAAGGAGAGTGCGGTTGGCATTTTCTACTTGTCCGTTGCCCTGAGGGTAGGCAACGGAAGAGAATGTGTGCTTGATGCCCCAAGCTTCAAGGAGGGCACAGAAGGGGGCCGCCTCGAACTGAGTTCCGTTGTCGGAGATGATTTGTTGGGGGACGCCAAACCTTGTGAGGATATTTTTGAGAACAAAGTGGCGGCACCGGGCCTCAGTGATGCTGGCGAGGGGTTCGGCCTCCACCCATTTGGTGAAGTAGTCAATGGCAACGATGATGTACCTGTTATTGGAGGTACCCCTCGGCAGGGGGCCTACTAGGTCGATTCCCCATCTAGAGAAGGGTATAGCGGTGCTGATGGGGGCATAGTTGACCGCTGGCCTGCCGGGGGCTTTCTGAAAGTGTTGGCAAGCAGTGCACCTTCGGGCTAGATCAGCACAATCTCTAGCCATCGTGGGCCAGAAGTAGCCCTGAACTATGAGCCTACGGGACATGGAGAAGGGTCCCTGGTGAGCTGAGCAAGTGCCACTGTGTACTTCCTCCATGGCGACTTCGGCCTCGTCTTGATGAAGGCACCGAAGGAGGGTGCCGTTGTAAGATCTTTTGTAGAGCCTCCCGTTTTCGATGGTGTAGCTGGGAGCCCTCAGTTTTGCTAACTTGGCGCGAGCTTCGTCTTGGGGCAGTTGCCCTGTGGTGATGAAGGCAATGATGTCGGAGATCCAATCCTCCGGCCTCAGGTTAATGTTCATGACGGGGCTCGCGTGGATGCTTGAGAGGCTGAGTTCCTCAATTCTCGCAATTTTGGAGAGGTGCTCGGGGGATTCATCCGAGAGCTTTGATAGAATATCGGCCTCGGAGTTTTGAGCCCTCAGTATTTGGGTGAGGGAATGTGCCTCAAATACCTTGAGCAACTCCTTAGCCGCTTCTTTGTATTGTTTCATCCTCCCTTCCTTGGCTTCGTATTCCCCGGAAATTTGACCCACGACGAGTTTCGAGTCACTCCTAACGTGGACCATCTTGGCCTTCAGATTCGCTGCCAGCCGAAGGCCACAGAGGAGGGCTTCGTACTCGGCCTCATTGTTGGAGACTTTGAAGGAGAAGCGGATGGCATAATAGGCGCGGAAGCCCTCGGGTGTGATGAGAACTACTCCTCCTCCGCATGCTTTGGTGGCTGAGGAGCCATCGGTGTAGAGTGTCCACCACTCATCGAGGGGTGCCGAGGGCTCCTCGTCAGTTGCTGATCTTGCGGTGCATTCCGTTACGAAGTCCGCCAGGGCTTGGCCCTTAATGGCAGGCCTCGGACGGATGTCTATGTTGTATTGGCTGAGGAAGATGGCCCATTTTACCATCCGGGAGGAGCTAGTGGGACTTCTCATGAGGGCGCCGAGGGGTTGATGAGTGAGCACCTGGACCGGATGAGCTTGAAAGTAGTGGCCCAGCTTCTTGACGGTCCAAACGATGGCTAGCACCGTCTTCTCGACGGGAGAATACCTGAGTTCGGCCTCCCGGAGGGTTTTGCTGACGTAGAAGATGGCATGTTGGATGCCGTCTTCCTCTCGGATTAGTACTGAGCTGATAGCCGCAGGGCTAACACCGAGATATAAGTATAAGGTCTCCCCCACCTTTGGTTTGGAGAGCACTGGGGGAGAGGAGAGGTACTTTTTAAGTTCGTCGAAGGCCTCTTGACACTCAGATGTCCATTGAAAACCCGCCGTTTTCCTCATGATTTGGAAGAAGGGGAGGGCCCTCTCGGCTGACTTAGAGAGGAATCGGTTGAGGGCCGCCAGGCGACCCGTCAGCCGTTGAACTTCTTTGACGTTGCGTGGAGGCTCCATGTTGATGATGGCCTGAATCTTCTCGGGGTTGGCCTCAATACCCCTCCGGCTGACCATGTAGCCCAAGAACTTTCCTCCCTGCACGCCGAAGGTGCATTTCTTTGGATTTAGCCGGAGGTTGAATTTTTGCATGATGGCAAAAATCTCCCGGAGGTCGTCGGCGTGAGTGTTTGCCTTCTTACTTTTGACGATCATATCGTCAACGTAAGCCTCCATGGTGCGTCCTAGGACAGCTTGAAAGACCCTGGCCACCATTCGGGTGTAGGTGGCGCCCGAATTCTTGAGGCCGAAGGCCATCACAAGATAACAGAAGATGCCTTCGGGTGTCATGAAGGCAGTTTTTTCAGCGTCTTCCTCATGCATGTTGATAAGTCCATTTTTTTACTTATTTTTCTTATCAAATTTAAGCGATTTTTAAATGAAAATAGAAAGAAAAGACACATTTTATATATTTTGGTTCAAGTTTCATGAAATCAGGTAAAAATCACATCCATAATATGTTTAGCGGGATTTCGGGTCAATTGAGCACAAAATGAGTCAATTTGAGTGACAAATGCATTTATACCGGAAGAAACAAGCATTTTATCAAGGTGATTCAGAAGACAAAAATGAAGAGCAGGAAAAGCCGCATCTGCCAGACAAAAATGGCAGAAGGCGCCCAAATAGGCGCC